AACGGAACGAGACATAGTTTACAATCAAAAGGTCTTTCCTAAAAGAGCTGTCACCTAAACATAAATCCCTCTAAAAAAAACTACATCGTCTACAAAACAAGCAAAATCAACAACAATAACAACAATAGCAACCACAACAATAACAAAAGCAATCTCCGAACCAGAAAACCGACCGCCTGCGTATGCTCGCAAGACCCGATATCTCAGCGATGGAAGAGGGGGGGAAGGAGGGAGGGAGGAGGCGGTGGGGAGTGGGGGAGGAGGGGAAGAGCCGGTGGGGAGGGGGGAGGGAGGGGGGAGAGGAGGAGAGCGGGGAGCAATAAAAGCTTCCGAAACATTCTCCGAACCGACAATTTCCTCCGGTTTGCGGGGCGAAAACACGGGCGAATCCTTAAGGAACTCGAATTTCTGTCCCTGTTACTACCGTATCGTTTTCTTTTTTTTTTCTTTCTCTCATGTCAGATCTTTAAGATCCCTGTTTTTATTTTATCGTTTCTTCCTCTTTTTTTTTCTTCTACTTCTACTACTTCTACACTCTCTTCTTCTTCATGAAGGAAGCCTCATATACTTTTAACATCTAACACATCACGAATACATAATGGCAGCAATGATAATAGCTATGTATATATATATATATATATATATATATATATATATATATATATATATATATATATATATAATACATAACAACGAAAACGGAAGAAATACACAAACCATCGACTCCCAAAAGGGCCAAAAAAGTTCAACCGCTGACCTCCTCTGACCCCCTTCTCCCTCTCCCCCCACCCCCACCGACTGCGGTTATTAGGAGAGAGAAGAAAGCAAAGCAAAGAAAGCAAGCAAACAAGCGCGGGAGGCAACAAGACGAGCAGATCGAGCCGAGGAGAGACTTGAGGCTTGTTTACAGAGCGAATTATGGCGAACTTAATTGATTTCTGAGAAGCCCATTCCCCTCCTCCTTCCCTTTCTGCTGCTGCTGCTTCTTCTTCTTCTCCCTCTGTCCACCTCCATATTTTCCTAGTCCCCCTCTTATCTCTACTTCCCACCTATCACATTCTTTCCTCTCTCCCTCCTTCTCACCTATCGCATCCTTTCCTCTCTCCTTCCTTCCTCTCCCTCCCTCTCCCTCTCTTTCCTCTAAATACCAATTTCTTGGTGCTACGTGTCACTGAAGGAGGAAACCACGAAGAGGAGGAAGAAGAAAAAGGAAAAGAAGGAGAAGGAGAAGGAGAAGGAGAAAGAGTAGAAAGAAAAAGAGGAGAAGGAGAAGAACAGAAAAGAAGAAAACGAAGCTTAGTAGGGAGGGGGGGGAGAAGATAAAGCATTAACAACTCCTTAATTAAAGCCTGTTTGCAAGACACGGCGGCCCGCACAAAGCCCACATTAAAAGGGCCAAACATGAAGCCTTCTAGCCCAATGCCTATTGACACTGTGCCACCAATTACTACGCAAAGGGAAGATCGTAAACATTTATCATCGCACACTACGTCTCATATTCTTCTTTTCTTTTCTTCTATTTTATAACATATTTACTTGTTTACAGATCTATCGATTTGTTTGCCCCTTTCGTTATTTCCAGTTCCATTTCTTTTATGTATCAATTCCATCTATCTATCGATTTATTTGCCCTTTCGTTATTTTCAGTTCCATTTCTTTTATGTATCAATCCATCTATCTATCGATTTGTTTACCCTTTCATTATTTCCAGTTCCATTCCTTTTATGTATCAATTCCAATCTGTCTATCAATTTGTTTATCCTTTATTTTTAGTTTCGTCTCGATTCATTCGTCGCGAAAATATTTTCTCCGAAGATATCACATTTCGGTAAACTATCTTGAGGGCCATCAATGGAAGCCTAAGATTTGTTTACTTAAGATTTTTTTTCTTTCGCCACAAGAAAAATAAATAACAAGAGGAATAAAAAAGAAAAGAAAATGAGAGGGGGGAGGAGGGAGAGGAGAGGAGAGGAGAGGAGAGGAGAGGAGAGGGGAGAGGAGGAGAGTGGAGGGGAAGGGGTCGTAACTCAGAAGGGGGTAAGGGGGAGGGGGAGGGGGTAAGGGGGAGGGGGAGGGGGAAGGGGGAGGGGGGAAAGTTCACGGCGTTTGAGGAAACTCGAGATGTCACGAGCTGCTTGTTCCCTGACAGGGAGGATAAACACGCCAAGGTAGTTCTGGTCACACGAAAAACGTCATTTGTTGGTTCGAAGGAGAAGGACGGTGGGGGGGGGGGGGCAGAAAGGAGAGGAGAGAAAAGGGGAAAGGTCACGGAGAGGGTGAGTTAGAGGAGAGGAAAGGGAGAAGGCACAGAGAGAGAGAGAGAGAGAGAGAGAGAGAGAGAGAGAGAGAGAGAGAGAGAGAGAGAGAGAGTGAGAGAGAGAGAGAAAATCATTTCCCTCAACTGGATCTGTTTGGACAACCATAAAATTTCACCTAAAACCGTATACATACACACACACATACATACACACACAAAATCACTAAACTATACAAAACTGAAAGACCGAGGACTCCAATATTTGTTTCCTCCCCCCCCCCTTCCACCAGTACACCCGGCCAGTGCATGCCTAACCCCTCTTCTCATAATCGTCATGCAAACCCTCTTTTCCTCTCTCCTCTCTCCTCTCATCCATTCATCATTTCGCCTCTCCTCTCCTCCCACCACAAGGGCCTGCGTGAGCGAGTGCATGCAGCAGAAAAGCCGGTACTACACCTCTTCCCCCTTCCCCCCCCAGGTCGTTCAGGCACCTACTCCGTGCATGACACATGTGGACACGCGAAGACAACGAAATCTGTCCCCTCTGCATGTGCTTGTTTGTTTACTGGTGTGCCTATTACGGTCGTAGAGAGAGAGAGAGAGAGAGAGAGAGAGAGAGAGAGAGAGAGAGAGAGAGAGAGAGAGAGAGAGAGAGAGAGAGAGAGAGAGAGAGAGGGAGGAAGGGAGAAGGAGGGAGGGAAGAAGGGAGAGGGAGGGAGGAAGGGAGAGGGAGGGAGAGGGAGAGGGAGGGAGAGGGAGAGGGAGAGGGAGGGAGAGGGAGGGAGAGGGAGGGGAGAGGAGGGAGGGAGAGGAGAGAGAGAGGAGAGAGGGAGAGAGAGGGAGAGAGGAAGGAATGGATTGATTGATGTAATAGGAACAATTAAATAACTTGAATTTTATAATTTAAGTTTAATTATTAATTCATAATCAATTATAAAAATAATTATAAAAAAAAAACTCAACAACCCATCCCACCCTCCGACGAACCACCTTCACTCCCTCACCACCTCACCCCCACCCAACCCCAACCCCAACCCAGCAAGAGTCCATTCCCCTCCGCGGCTCTTGCAGAAAGCCGCCCACCGCCATGACCCCCACGCCCGCCACGCCCATCACGCCCGCCCGAATCGGAGGCATCGGGCGGGGACAGAGGGCGCCTGCATGCTTTAACGACGGTATTGGAGTGCGGCGACGAGGGGGGGGGCCGAGCTGTTTACGACCCCCACGCCCTTCCCTTCTGCTGGGGACTCCCTTGGGGCTACTGTTGAGGAGGGGGGAGGAATGGGGGAAAGTGGAGGAGGAAGGGGAGGAAGGGGAGGAAGGGGAGGAAAAAGGGGAAGAAAAAGAAGAAGAAAAAAGAAGAAAGAAGAAGAAGAAGAAGAAGAAGAAGGAGAAAAGTGAGAAGAAATCAAAAAAGAAAGGAAGAAGAACCAGAAAAAGAGAAGAAAACAAACAAACAAAAAAAAGAAGTAGAAAAATGAGAAGAAAATAAAAAAGACAGGGAGAAGATTGTTCTATCAGTCTCATGTTGTTTCTCCCATTACTTGTCAGTCATCTACAGAATTTTGTAGTGGATTGTAACAGCCACAAGATGGTACTGTGCGTAACTGATAAACAAGGGTAGAAAAAAGTAACAATAGCAGAAAAGAAAGGAGAAGAGAGAAGGAGGGAATAGGGGTAAGCTTAAGGAGAAAGGGAGGAAGGGGGAAACAGGGAAAGGGGAGAAGGAAAAGGGGAACAGGGAAAGGGAAGAGAGAAGAGGGGGGGGGGAAAGGAAAAGGGAGAGGGAAGAAGTACGAGGAAAAGGTTGCGGGAATAGGGGATAGGGGGAAGAAGAAATGGCAAAGAGGAGGAAAGAGAGAAGTGGGAATGAGAGAGGAAAGAAAGAGGCAAGCGTGGAAAGAGAAGAAAGACGCAGGATAAGAAAAGGACAGAAAAGAAACAATACCGAGAGCGGAAAAGGCAAAGACAGAAAGAAAAGCAGAGGAGAGAGAAGGACAAGCGACCCCCCCCCACCCCCCACCCCCAGGTACTCTAAACCTCCTCGACGAGCCAACGAGTCACTCAAAAGCCTCGACTCCTCTCAATGGAACTTCCATTCAGCGACGTGCGAGTGTGTGTGTGTGGGTGGGTGAGTGAGAGTGCGTGCGTTTGTGCGTGCATCTGGCCATCTATACACCCACACACACACACACTCGTTCAGCCCGACACCGACACTCGCCGCCGATTAATAATTACCTCGTGTTATTATAAGCTCAGACCTCACCTGCAACTCGTGTCCCGGGGTCAGGTTGCAGGCGCGGTTCCTGCTTTATATAGCACTGGGCACGTGATTCGCCTGTTTAGATTGTGCTTATTTTCGCTTTTGTTTTGATTTGGGATTTGGGAGTGTGTGTTTAAGGTTACGTGTGGTTGTGTGTGCGTGTGCTTGTGCGTGTGTGCGTGCATATGTAACATGAACTGTAATTATGAATATAAACACGGTCACTGTCTCATTTAAAACATGTTCATGATAAAACTACATTTTAATTATGAAACGACATTCAGATATAAAACGCCCATAGTCCTATATGCCCAACCCCTCCCCCCCACACCCATGCTACCACCGACCTACACAAACAAAAAAATCAACAAAATACACATTCTAACAAATCATACCAAAGCCACAAATCCCCCCCCCCAAGCAACCACAAGGGGGGTAGGGGGGTGGGGGGATCACGCCCCAGCCTTCGCCCTCACCCACCTCGTACTCCGCAAGGACTTCGGCAGACCGCAGGACGCACACACTCGGCACTGACCTCTGGCACGCTGTTCCCGAGATAGACTGAGGGGCATGGGCTCAGCTTAAGGAGGGGGGAGGGGGGGGAGCAATGGGTATGGGGGGGGAAGGGGATGTGTTGAGCAAAGGGTATGGGGGGGATATGGGGGAGAGGCGGGGGGGGGGGGTGCGTCCGTCAATCCGTCACACTCCAACAGGATATGAATCACACACACAAGACTCAATTTGTAATGTCTTTCACTGTCCCCGTGGCGCAACCACTCATGCCATACGGGTGCGCAACCATTACTCGTTCCAAACACCTCTTATTCTTTCAATGTTTTCAAGAGAAAAAATCTTGAGTCATCACCGATTGCTTCTTCTCGAGACTTAATCGCCGCACGACATTTTTTTTTCTCTACGACAAACACGGCGGGAAGCTGCATTTCCGAATCAAATTCTTGCGTCATTTTATAAACACACGTCTGTCTTTCTCCAAAGCCTTACGATTTTTCAAACCAACGTCACACCGATCTTTCTCCACATCCTTACCTTTCTCCATGTACCTCAAAAAAAAAAACGACATCATTAGCGCCCGATAGTGACGCATGTTAGATGACAAAAAAAAAAAAAAGCCAAAAGAAACGACAGGCATTCTGACCCGCACGAAAGGGGTATCAGCATTCCAATCAACGGCCGAGTCGTACAAAGGAAAAAAAATCTCAGTAAAGTAGTGTATCGTGTCCAGCGTCAGCCTGTACACTATATCTCACTTATATTTATGGATTAGTGCAGAACCCTTATACACGACGGGAGTTTATTGGAATGCCAGATGACAGAGAGACATGGGTTATGTGCAGTATATCTGTATGATAAAGGAGACGGATTTTTTCCCCCCCAGTGTAACGCCGGTCGCTAAACTAACAAACGCAAACACTAATTACAGCCTCGGATTCTTTCTTTGTCCGCTTTAATACGTACTTGGCTCGCGTCACATTAGGAAAAGGATGTCACTGCATCCTCATGGTGACTCAGGGAGATTCTTTTTTCACTCATCTTACTCATCGTCACTTAGTACGTCCAGAGCGCAGGATGTGAAACGCACTGCGGCTTTGCTCGCGAGTGGGGGAACTCTCTCTATCCCTGCGTCAGATAAGAAGCGAAAACACGGTTCCCAGGGTACTTCAACATAAGAGCTTAAACTAACATTATCCTTCGTAAGAACACAAACTCCCACTCATAACTTACATTGGAACTCCTCGGGGCCACGGCACAAAACGAAAACCAACCAACGATATATATATATATGCACCCAAGACGTACGTAAATGCGCGTGCACACAGCTCACAGAAGGAAGGCGATACTAAGCCACTCAACACATTGACGCACGGCGCACGCATGTAATCGCTTATCGGACAATCTTATCGGCTGATAACAGGAGTAAGCACCCCAACCCGATAGCGAGGCCAATGTGTCACCTGCAGATAACGCATTTGGAGGTGTATCGGCTGGTCCTTTACTCAGGAAAATACTCTAAATATTCTATATCTGGTCAAGACTGCTCGTCTGTCATACCGACAAGTCACTCGGCTCGGAAGTGTGTAATCGTACTTTAAACTCGCTCACGGGACCTGGCACGAAATGCCCCGAGGTCCCTTCACTTCTCCCCGCCTCCCCTCAATTTCTAATCTCGACTTCATACACCCCTCTCCCTTCCCCTCCCCTTCCCCCCTCCTACATTCTTGACATCTCCCCTCCCGATTCCCCTCTTTCGCCCCTCCCCCAATGCCCCACTCCCAGAGCCCAACCCCTTCCTCCACTTTCCACCCCCCCACCGCATCCCACCCCCTCCACGCCTACTTGGTGACTGACACGCGAGATCTGCAAGCGGAGATCTGCTCTATTCTCGCGGAACGTTTCGGGGATCGAGTTGCGGCCGGAACACCGCCAGCACACCCGCGATCGCCACCCAGCAACCGACAAGCAAACAAAATTTAAGAAAAAAACAAACATATAGGCCTAACCTATTAAAAAAAAAAGAGCAGATAATACCACAAGCAAAGCTCTAGTAAGGCAATAACACCATTCAAAGGTATACTCGATAACCGGTAATGTTAATCGCCAAATACTTAACATCTCTCGGCAAAACTCCGCGGAGAGTCCACGCCGCATTAAATTTTCACATACAGATGGAGAGAAAGGTTATCGAGCGGACCAACTGAGGAGAAACACCCTCCTCCTCCTCCTCCTCCTCCTCCTCCTCCCCCCCCCCCCCCCTCAAACACACTCGCTCGTCTACAGCTTTTAGGAATCCTTTCGTTGACGAGATACATTCATCCATCACGACAAACAACGCATACACGCCATAATGACTTAACAAGCGTCTCGGCCAGACGTAATCACCCCGGTAGACAGCGGCGAAGCACCTCTAATGGCACCCACGCTGGAGGGGGTGGGGGAGTGCCACCCGACAACCTGACACCGATGCCATCCGTCAATGCCACTATAGGGCCCGGCAGTTAGGCTCTGGTAGTTAGGCGCGGTAATCACCCTATCCTCCTCCTCTCCCCCCCCTCCTCCTCCTCCCCCACTCTGGCCACATCATCTACCTCCCGGAGTGCTTCTCCCTACAGGCTGACACCCAACCCGACACCTTAACCCATCCGCTAAATTTCGTCCTCGGCCTCGTCCTCCGCTCATCCGCTCGTCCACCAGCCATGTGAGAACAAAAATGGGCCTAAACAACACTATTTTCACATCGAGGGAGGAGGGAAGGTGGGGATGGGGGGTGAGGGAGGAGGGAAGGTGGGAGGTGAGGGGTAGAGGGTGACCTGTGCGGTCATGGGGGGGGGGGGACGTAAGCAAAGCATTTGAGGAAAGGTCACGCAGGGGTGAGGAGAGGTCATTCAAAGAGTCACGAATTCAGCCTGCCTCAAAGACGCTGCACGGCCCTCGGGCACGTCACGCTCTCGTGCACAGACCCATTTGTAGGTGGAAGAGGGAGGGGAGGGGGGGGGGGTTAAGGAGTGAGAGAGGAGGAGGAGGAGGGGATGGAGAGGAGCGGAGGGAGGAAGGGAAGGAGACTGACCGAGAGAGAGAGAGAGAAAGGAAGAGAGAAGACAACAAAGTAGAGAAAAGAATAATAATAAAAGAGAGGAGATAACACAACATAAACCAGAACACAAAGACAGAAAAAGGAAAAAAACAAACACCCAATAAACACAAGAGTGAACAAGTATCTTCCCAATGAAGCGCACAGCCTCTTTCCTGTCTCCTTTTCCCCTCCCTTTCACAACAATGATCACTAGGCCTATGATAAAATCGCAAGAGCAGGGAATAATAGAGCCCCAAACACGAGGCTCTCCCCCCCCCCTTGTTGGAAGCAGGGGGAAGGGGGTGGGGGTAGGAGGAGGAGGAGGAGGAGGAGGAGGAGGAGGAGGAGGAATAGGAAGAAGAGGTAGAGGAAGAGGAAGAGAAAGAGGAGGAGAAGAGTACAATGAGGAAGAAGAAGAAGAAGAAGAAGAAGAAGAAGAAGGAGTGAAAGAAAGGACGGGGTGGAAGAGGAAGAAGAAAAGGGGAAGGTAGAAGCAAAGGAGAGGAAGGGGGAAGTGGAGGAGAAAGGCAGAACATCATCCAAGATAAAGCGACGGCCGTATGGAAGAACGTCGATAAGGAAGATGGAGGGAGGGAGCAGGGAAGAGGGTGATAAGGAGAATGACTAGGGGAAAGGGGAAATAATAGATAGAGGCGATGGGGAGGCACAGAAGGGGGAGAAGGTGAGGGGGAGGGGGAGGGAGAGGGGGAGGAGGAGGAGAGAGAGGGAGGAGGGGAGGAGGGGAAGAGAGGAGGAGTAGGGCAGTAGGAGGGGGATAGAGGAGTAGGAGGAGGAGGGGGAGGAGGAGGAGGAGAAGAAACTGGAGGAGCAGCAGGAGGAGGAGGAGGAGGAAGAGGAAGAGGATGCAGAGAAAATAGAGTAATCGTAGGAGGAGAAAAACAGGAAAAATTAGTGATGAGGAGAAGAGAAAAAGATGAAAACCTAGCTGAACAAAGTAGAACAAAGGAGTTAGGGGGAGAGGAGGAGGAGGAGGAGGAGGAGAAACAGGAGATGATCGCCGCGGGTGTGAGACGAAGGTTCCCACGCCCATCTTCATCACCCTCGATTACGACTGCTGTCGGGCTGCGGGCGGGCGGGCGGGCGCACGCGTGTGGGTGGGTGGCGGCCACTTAGACCCACCCCACACTCCCCCCCCCCCGAGCGTGCAAGCGACCGAACGCCCACTCTTTCTGCACTCTATCGCATGCGGCTCAAATCACGCTTTTCCTAACGTGTATGAAGTGTGCTTTACCCCTCACGAGGCCAAAGGGTCGCCGGCTGATTGAATAAAATACCAAAATGGAGCTCCTCTTGAACGCCCATTATTAAATCAAACGCGGAAATAATACGCTTGAATTCCAGCGTGGGCGACAGGGAGGGAGGGAGGGAGGGAGGGAGGGAGGGAGGGAGGGAGGGAGGGGAGAGAGAGGTTTTCATGGGTGCAGTATGATGGGACATCCCCCTCCTCATGCCAACCCCACCCACACCCTTGCCCCTACCTATACCCTAAACCCTCCCCCTCTTCCACCCTTATTCCACACCTTCCCACCCCAACTCCCATTCCCCAACTCTTGCCCAAGCAGGTCTGTTCTTTTGAGGTCATTTCCCCTCATTTCCTTTCGTTTGGAGGAGAGATCATTACATTCCATAATTTCGGCCTCAGTCTTCCAGTCTTTCTCAGCTCTCTCCCTCCTCCTCCTCCATCTCCTCTTCCTCCTCCTCCTCCTCTTTCTTTTTCTCCCTCTCCTCCTCTTCTGTCTCATTCCAGTCATTCATTTTCTCCCCGGCCCCCTAAGCCCCTCCTGGCCCCTAGTCCCCTGGCCCTAGACACATCGAGAGGGCCACGTGGCGCAACACGATCCCGAAGGCTCGTGATCGTGCAGGCGCCGTTCGAATACCTGTAGGGCGAGCAACCGAACGAGAAAAACGAGTCAACACACTCAGAGATAACAGTTCGGGCTGGCAGAGTGGGTGGGTGATGGATTGGCGGGTTCCAGGTCGTGAGAACACGGAGAGAAAGAGAAAGAGAAAGAGGAGGGGTGTGGAGGGGGAGGGAGAGAAAGAGAGGGGAGAGGCAGGATAGATAGATAGATAGATAGATAGATAGATAGATAGATAGAGAGAGATAGAGGGGGGGAGGGGGAGAGAGAGAGGAGGGGGGGAGGGGGAGGGAGGGAGGGAGGGAGGGAGGGAGAGGGAGGGAGGGAGGGAGG